ATTTTAAAGATTATATCTATTTTATCATACCAATACTAATCTTTTCATTCTTTATCAGTTTGATTGTTATGTTTCTTAATGAATTTATACTTTTTTATTAATCAAGCAAGTTTACCTTAAATATAAATAATTAAAAATATTAATAATTTAATAAGAATAAAGAAATAAAGTAAGGAAATATTTACTTTAATTGCATTTAACTCTTTATTAGGTAGAATAATCTTTGTTATATTATTATAAAATTTTGACTTATTTTTTTTAGACTAAGCTGAGTAATTTTCTTAAATATAGTCAAGTAAAACCTTAATTTCATCATGTTTCCATTTATTCCCAAATTTTTTATCAAAAGGATCTTGATTTTGATTATAATTTTCTTTTTCTTCTGCCTTACCTTCATCCTTTTTTTATAAAATAATTAATAGCCCTTTTTAATATTCTTTTGTAATTAAAAATTCTAAAATATATACTCACTTTTTCTATTTCAAATGAACTCAAATTCAAGTTTTATTATTGAAGAGAAGTATTAGTTAAACTATATAATTGAGAATTATATTACTATTGAAAAAAAGTGTGGTGTTACTGGGAAAAATTATGTTATAACTGAAAAAAGGAAAGAATAAGTTGTTGAGAAAGAACTTGTTACTATTGAGAAAGAGTCTACTGTTGCTGTTATTTTACAAGAACTGGTTTAGATAAAATTAAGTATAAAATTGTACTAGTTAAATATATAAGTATTTTCTTTTTTAAAGGTCTATAAGTATCAGTAAAGTTAGTATTAGAAATATTAGTATATTTAGTAAAAGTTTTCTCTTTACTTTGTACTTGATTCATAGTTTCTTTAAAAGCACATTTTAACATGTTAATAAAACGATCAAAAAAGTCTACTTTTCTATAGTTTAAAAAAATTGAGTCACTGATCAAGTTACACAATTCCATCAGCCAATTTTATCAACTCAAATCTGATCAAAAATTTGAACAATCAAAATTGAACTATCCTATAATTATTAATTTTGATTGGTACAAAATTGATTGTTATAAAAATTACCAAAATAGAAAAGTTAGTATTAGATTATTAAAAAATATTTTTGGCTATTTATTTATAAATTTTTTATATAAAAATTTTTGAATTAATGTTAAATCAAAAATATACAAATATTAAATATATCTATATTTTTTTTATAATAATTATAAAAATTAAAAAAAAGTAGAAAATTAAAGAAACTTGTAACATTAAATTAAAAAGTAAAATTATAAATATACTAGATATTATATATTTAAATGACTATCTAATAATATTTGTGATTAATGTAAATATTTAGATTAAGAAGAAGATATAATATTTGTATACTGCCCTACACTAAATTACTGGATTTTAGTCATGTGATTTAATACATCGGTTTTACAATTGGCGTTTTTGTCCTATTGTGCATAAAAAAAAAAAAAAAAAATTAAATAAATTTGTCTCTCTCTTCTATTGTCAAAATGCGAAGAAATGAGTTGTCAAATATACAACGTGAAAGAATTATTGGTGCATATCTTAGTAGCACCAGACAAACGATTATTTCAACTCAACTAAATATTCCTCCTAGTACAATAAATGATACTATTAAAAGATACAAAGAAATGGGTTCTGCAGAACCTGAGAAACATCCTGGCCATCCAAAAATGCTTACTAAACAAGATAATCAGATTTTACAACGCATTATCTGTGACAATCGGTTTTCTCCTCTTAGTAATATAACAGATAGTTTAAATTCCAGACTTAACACTACACTTCATTATAATACTATTAGAAAATATATTTATGATAAAGGTTTGGGTAGTTATGTTACTCGTAAAAAACCTCATTTAACTGCAGAACGTCAAAAAAATAGATTTAAGTGATGCAAGGAAAAACGTAACTAAAAAGAGGAATGGAAGCAAGTGGTATAGTCGGATGAGTCCAGGTTTGCTCTTTTTAAGTCGGATGGTCGTGTAAGAGTTTAGAGAAGTCCTAGAGAAGCTTATAATCAAGATTGTATTCAATCTACAGTTAAATTTGGTGAAGGATCAGTGATGTTTTAGGGTTGTTTTGGTTAGCATGGAGTTGGACCTCTGGTTGTAGTAGAAGGAAATATGAATTCTAATGATTATGTCAATATTCTTGCTAACTCTTTAATACCTTGGGTTAGTAATTATCCTGGTTTTATATTTCAGCAAGATGGAGCATCCTGTCATATATCTTCATACAGTGTTTGGTGGATGTCAATGCATAATATTCCAATTTTGGATTGGGTAACGCAAAGTCCAGATTTAAATCTGATTGAGAATTTGTGGAACTATTTAGACTATCAGGTTCGAAAAAGAAAGCCTTTACCTAAATCAAAACAAGAGTTAATTGATGCTGTGAAAGAAGAGTGGAAAAAAATTAGCTTAGAAACATTACACCACTTAATTTTAAGCTTACCTAATCGTATCGAAGCGGTAATTAAAGCTAAGGGTGGGCACACTAAATACTAGTCCGAAAATTTCAAAATTTTAAATAATAGAAATGTAAATGCAATGCTTTTATTTTGATAAAAAATTTTGTCAATTTATTAATAAAAAAATTTTTTTTGCATGATTATAAAAAAAACTGAATTTTATATATAATTTCCATATATAGTAAAAAATCTGGTAATTTAGTGTAGGCAGTGTATATCATATCACATATATCACCCTAAATCCCTATACGAAGCGCCTATGGTCCAGTTTCTCGATAATTCTAGGAGAGTTCTAAAAGCTGACGAATTTCTATAAATCATGAGATGATCAGCCAATCAGATTTCGGATTTTTTCTTTAGCTGGATAGCCTTTGATTCGGGAAAATTATTACAACTATTTTTTCTGATGGTAGAGTCTGAACACGATGTCCAAGCTCGACTTAATTGCAGGACATTAACGAAGTTTCTATTTTAAGACTTCAGCCATTACATAATCCTTTTTATTCTTAGTTAAATTTAAGATGAAACTTGGAGGGGTGGATTTTATCTGTGCTATTTTCTCTTTGCCTATACTATTAAAAAGCTTATAAACCTTTTCAGATCTCTTCATCTTTTCCGCAAAACTTTGTCAGAACATTTTGTTTCAGGAATCGCTTCTCTAATCTCACTTTTGACTAATGCTAGAGATCCATCTTTACCATGTTCGAGTTTTAATTCTTTGTATCGTTTAAATATAACTTTCCTAAAATCAAAATAGCTAAAAATAAGACCTTGAGATGCACCTTTGTTTTTAGTTTCGGCATTATCAATCTTATCGGAGAGTTGCAAAAAAATACTGATTGCGCTTTCATTTACTTCTTCCAAGTTTTCTCCAATAGCGAGAACGAGTGTATCAGCTAATAATTCTTCGATAAGCTTTTTCAACATAGATAATACCTTCTTCTCACCAGTTTTTTTCGCTTTCTTGCTAGACAATTTTTCGGTAGATGCGGATGATACCCTAATACGTTTTTTCTGCGCAGTACTTGGCTCTGCTGGAGTTTCTATATTGTCAATTTCCATATCAGTTGATAGGCATATAGGACACAGCTTTCATGGATTATCGATATAGTTGTAATGGACGATATGTTTGCAGGTTAAGTATACGAGAGGTTTTGGTGGAGGATGAGGAAAGGTTCGAAGAAAATCTAGAGGAGGAGGAAGATACAAAGAAAGGTCCTCAGAACATTTAACACATCTTAATTGACTTCCTATCTGTTAAGTTCCTATATTTCCAACCCCTTCCATACGCATGGGTGGAGAAGTTAGGATAAACCTTTCGCTCATCGTGTTAGTTAAGGCCAAAGTTCTGCTTGATGGAATAATGGTGAATCTTGAATAGTAACATTCGATTCTGACAATCGGCCAATCAGATAATTCACAGTAGTAGAAAATATTTCTGTGATTTCTACATTCTTTCCACAATCGGGAAATGGATATTGATTTGGTATATTAAGCATAAGCTTTTTTTCAGCGCAGAGTCTATGAAAAATGTGCCCACAGCGAAGTCAGGTGAACTTCCTGAGAGGAAATGTCAATATGTCATTATTGCATTCAGAGCATGCTTCCATTTCTGGAAAATCTATATCTCTGACAGCTTTATCATCGAGACTTTTGAGAATATTATATCTAAGGTTTCTATACCTAACGAGAGAAGGGTTATCAGGTGAAGGAGTACTGCTTTTTTCTCTAGGCGTCTTGAGCGGTTCTGAAATCAGCTCGTCATTTTGTTCAGAATCTGTCATATTGATTCTTTTTTCTCTGGACAATAGGATTCGAAAAAGATACTGTCCTGTTTTTATATCACCAGGCAAATGTTCAGGAAAAACATTCCCCGGATCTTCACTAGCAATTACGCACCGCATTTCGTCATTCATTAATCCCCTTGCAAATCAATAAAAAAGACTTCATGATTAATGCCTCCAGCCGATGATCTCTTAGCAATCCCATATGCGAAATAAGAAAACTAACTATATTCGAATATTGTTTTGTTAGTATGATACTAGTGTGGCCGGAGACATGACTCAAAAAATAAAGTCGAAAAAATGTATATATATGCAAATCTTACTCACACAGCCCCTATTCTTCGGCAAGAATTTTACCGATATATTCTGCGCATTCCAGGTGATCGATTCACATGACGAAATTCTCGTCTGATACTATTGGGATTTTATTATGATAGTCAGAAAATTTAAGTCATGATTGAATTTTTTTTTACAAAAATATTACTCATATAATTTAACTATGGACTGTGTGGGAAGAGCTGAAAGATTAGACAAGCATATATAAAGTATCTTTATTTTTTCCGATTTCTGATATACACCATAAATCAAAATTGTATGCAGACTAAAGATACTTTATTAATAGTTACGCATTACAGCAACAAATAACTACTGTATAAATTATTTTACATAAGAAATTACAAATAATTCAACCACATTTGTAACCACAATATTTTCGTTGTAAATGATAGAGATCGCAATATAAAAAAATAGAATCTCACATCATAAAGATTTCGTCCATATCTTCTTCTGTTACAAGTGAAATGTCATCGTCTGGTAGGTGTAACCACTCTCTTAAATTTCCAGAAAACTTGTCAGTTGGAATAAAGGAACGAATTTTCTTTTGTAATTTTTCTTGTTCCACGAACTCACTTCGAATAACTGAAAAAAAATTAAAAATCTTCATGTAACATGTGATTGCGTCAAACGCGAATGGAATCACACAGGAAGCCAATTCGACAGCCAGATACTTTCTTTTTTCTACTAAAGAGACAGCAAACAACGTAAGTCGGTCTCCTATGACCTGGATACTATAGGTTTTAACGTTTTTTGCGTCCTCAATATTGCAATCAAGGCTATTGCCAAGGAGCCGACACAAACTGCAGATAGCCATAATTAGTAGTTTTTTAACATCACCAACCGTGTGTTTTTTTGTTAATCTATAAGGAGGCCCAGACACTTCGACATTCAAAAGCTCCCTTGCATCTGATAATCGGAGGATGAGTAAATCTGTTTTTCGTTCCCCAAAATTACTTGTAAACATGATGTTCGCTTCCTTTATAGATCTTACGTCTTTTTCTAACCACATGTATTTGACGTCAGGAAAAGCATTGCGAAATGCTCGCAGAATTGGGGACAGACATTCGACGATGTAGGATCGTTCAAGCATGTCTCGGTCTAAGACTTTCGGCATCAAATATCTAAACCTAAAGACAAAGTCCAGTAACGCACATCGTATAAAGAACATAAATCTATTCTCTTCTGATGTTTGATTATCTCCAATATTTGTTTCCGAAATTATTTTAGATTCGATTTCAGAATAATTTGCTTGAAATATGTTTTCGAGCTTTTTGATTATCGAATCACTCATAGCCAGTTTGTTTCTTGACTGGAGCATATTTCTAACTCTCTCATACATTGGTTCTTCGATCGTTTCTTTGACAAGATGTATCGTTGTATTAAAAGCACAAATTATGTGTGCAGAAAATTCATCATATGTTGCTTTCGTGATAATGGGTTTATTAGGTGTCGCTATTAAAGTGCTTGTAGCTGAATGAACTGTTGGACAAGGTGTACTTTCGCGTGAAGTTGCGAAATCTTCTGAAGTATTTAATTGCTGGGGTGTACTTGGAGTAATTTCGCACAAAGTAGTATCTTCAGAAGTATTTGAGATCATGGTTGGTTGAGCCGGACTTGATTTATTTTCATCCTCTGAAGTTTCTACGTTAATGTCACCTTTGTCCATATCATCACGGTTCGCTTTTCCCCGTAATCGCTTTGATCTTCTTGATTCCTGTTTCTTGATAAGTTCAATAGAATTAGAATAAGAATATTTATAATCGTGTAAAACTGTGAAAAAACATCAAATTACTTACTCTCTCTGATTTCTCTGTGTAGTCTGGATCAGACGAATGATCTTCTTCATCTGAACTTTCAGTATAACGATAACGTATTGATTTTCTTTTTCTAGTCGACTTCTTTCATGCAAGAAAAGTGATAAGTCGGTTTCAATGTATTATTCTTTAAGTCTAACAGGACTCACCCTTTTTGTCGGCTTCACATCACGATTAATAGTGGTGAGATCTTCAGCGATGTTCCTATGGAATTCCACTACTGTGATGGTATGTTCTTGCAAATTTTTCGACTGTACAGAAAATAAGGATTAATAAATTTCAAAAACGTAAACTATTAATAAAAAAGGTACCTTAATCTTAGCTAGTTGTACGGTTTCCTGACTTTTTATCTGCTCCAGTCGAATAGCTTCCTCGTTTTTGATTTTCTTCAAGTCTGGCATAGATTTAAAATAATCACTTCGACTTCCGGATAACTTCCAAGCCTAATATAAAAAGAAACAAATTCTGTAATAAACATTCTTTATATTTTTTTTTTATTTCATAAATGAGGAAAGCCTGTAACGAACTAATAGTTCAACACTCCAGCCGACTAATAGTCCTGAAGTGTGTTACAGAAGTTTAAAAGCTTAAATGATATAAGAAGTTGTAGCGAACTAATAGTTCAACACTCCAGCCGACTAATAGTCCTGAGGTGTGCTACAGCAACTTAAATCATTCGTTCATTACAAAACTAATACTCACTTCAAAATCTTTGTACATTTGATTTACTTTCGGCTTTGTTCCTTCTGAATAAGATTGATTAAGCGTATTCTCCATAGACTTTTTCATATAATCTAAAATCCTTTTCTTTTCACACGAAATGTTAATGGCGCACCACTCGGCAAAGTGGTTAAGAGACCAACTTTCAGAAGAGGTGGTATCAAAATATCCGTCCATTATTTGAAAGCGAGTTCCCATTAGCTTATCAAAACGCGATGGTTTTTATGACATAAAAAAAATCACGTGCGCGGGACAAATTGTCACACATGATGTTGATTAGATAAGATAATCTCCTAATACTGCGTCTATGCGAACAAAAAACCAGCTTCTATGATACGATCGCGAATTTGAGTTTCTTGCTTGAAGTGTTGCAGGTAAGACAATATTCCAACTTATCTTGAGAATAGAACTTCGCTAATTCAGGATCATAAGGGAACTGATTTCCATTTTTACAGTACCATGAGCTATGTAATCCATAATTTCCGTGTTTTCCATTGCAAATAGGACATGGTAAACTCCACGGCTGAGGTGATGCAAAATTATAATTATCAATCCCTCTAAAACTATTTCCGAATTTCAAGTATGGGAAGTGCTCTAAGACGGATTTGATAATTAATTCTGGATCGGGTCTAGCTTCGAAAGTGATGGGCCCTTTTTCTTGACATTGCTCACCGGAGGAGGGAAAAGATAAATCGGATACTTTGTTTTCTGGTGAATTTATGACTTCCGATTTATGTACTTCTGATAGTTGCCATGGCTCAAGTCCCATTTCTCTTTTATATTTTTTGTATAAGTTGGAACAGATCTTATCTGTCAAAATACTTGGTAACCCAGTTAATTTGGCATGCCAATCCAGATAATCGGCGGTTAGTATTTTAACAGACTCAGTCATTTTCCTTTTTATATGATTGCAAACAATTTAAATCCCTTTTTTCTCATATAGACCTATTCATTCGAAAAAAAAAGATTAAAATTCCTAGACTATTGTGAAGCAATGAGACTACGCAACTATCTCAATTTCACGCTGTTCACATTTAATAAAGTAAGATCCTGCTTTATACCTGTCTTCTATTTCTTCATCATCATGACCTAATTTGCATAATGGGCAGATATATTTCCCGCATGATATATCATCAGTAATCCCATAATAATCGAAATTTTCACTACTACATTCTCTATATAGATTAGGATATTGATCCAATATCTTGTTATGAAAATAGGACCGGTCATAAGTTGGGTTCTTCTTAGACATTGGTCGAGATGCAGGTAAAATATTTACTCCAGATTTTGAAGATGTTTATTCCTCTGATGTATTAGTATATGACAACTCAGAATTTTTCTTATCATTTCCTAAACCGAGATCAGGATATAACAATTCAGAATTTTTCTCATTACTTAACAAAGTATCTTTCGGCTGAGCACAGGTGGATGATTCTATCTTAATGCTATAGTCAACTGGTATATTATCTATGATATACTGAATATCTTCATACATCATTTTTGAAATACTGCTAACAGAGAATGAATGTATCCGATAAATTTTATCTATGCCTATTGCATCAAAAAGCTTACAGAGTTTCTTGGCCTACTTGATTCTTTTCCATAAAAGTACATCAGAAGTATCTGCAGGAAGTTGAGCTCTAACTTCTATATTTAAAATTCTACTGACAGCATTGGATTCTGAATCAACTTGTTTTTCAGACGCTATTTCACTTCGTCTTTGGATAAGAGCTTTTCTAAATTGACAGTAACATATAATGGCCTCTTGGACCGCACGATCAGCAAAATCCTCAGCATCAAGAAGTTTCTTATACAAAAGAGAAAATGTTGTCCCTATTTTTACTGCTGAGAAATCATAGCTTCGTACTGATTGCTTTAGGCAAACATCTAAAGAATTTGAGCCTGGCTCACCCATAGTATTAGAACATTTGGTGCTTGAATCCTCAGACACTTCCTGAATGAATTTCTCCCTTTGTTCTTTCTTGCGAAGTGCCTTTTTGTTAACAGATACCTGTTTACCTTTTTCAGAAGAGATGGGTTTTACTTTTGCAAGCTTCTCATCCTGCTTTCTCTGCCTTATCCCATCACTGACAATTTTCTTATTCACTTTATCTAGAAAAGAAACTATCATCTCTTCCTCCGATGGCTTGATGTTTATGTTATCACCAGGTGATCTATTTATGGGCTGGTCTATTACAGAATCAGGTATATCGTGAAAAGCATATGGCTGTGATACAGCTGATATCTCTTCTTCTCCAACAGAGCATGAGTTCTGCATGTTAGTAATGTGCTGTGGTTGCTGAGACCTCGTAAGATTGGAGGAATCAAAATCATATCTTAATTTTGCTAATTCAGCTTTAAGCTCAGCATTCTCAGCTGAAATATCTACATTATTTTTCTCCAATTCCTCGATTCTGATCTTATGTTCGGCATTCTTAGCATCACGTCTGGCATTCTCTTCAATAATCTGCCTCAACTTTGCATTCTTAGCCTCAAGCTCAGTAATATGTCGCAATGATTTAACCTCAGATGTCATGATTAATAATATTCTATAGAAGATATGAAATATTCAATAGTCCGTTAATATATATACATTCTGTTAAGAAAAATATGTAGGTTATGATGTCACTTCTTGAACTGAAATCAGGAAGTTTTGATCACGTGTTTTTCCTGAACTGAGTTCAGGAAGTTTTGCCAAGAAATTTTTTTATTAATAGGAGTTTACTAAAGTAAACAACCATCATACAAGTAGGCATCATTACAACAAACTTATTCGTTGTCTCTCTCTTTCGAGAAGACGATAAATTTTAAATATGAAAATGAGTATGAATAATGAACAGAGGAAAGAAATGTCTTGTAATTGATTGTTAATTAGAAAGATCCATTTTTGCGAAAAATCAGCACAGGATCAATATTGTGCATTCTATGCATTCAAAATACAAAAGGATGTAATAATCCTATAACTATGTAAAGGATGTAGACGAGACACTAAATCAAGCGTTCAGCTTTGTGTCCAATGTGAACAAGGTAAGGAAAAAGTATACATATATTATAAAAAGAAGAATATGCAAGAATCAGACATACATAGAATAGTACTTAATTTACTAACTGGTTGATAGATCAGCCTAAATGAAAAACTATTCCAGAAGTTGATTCGCAAAGGTTACAGATATGCTAATAGACTTTCAAATTATTTAGAAGATATTGGGACTATATGTGTCGGTGAATTTGAACTGGATCCTTTAGCTAACTTCTACTATCCAGCCTTAATTCCACCCTTATCTATCTTAGCAAGTAAATCAGATATTCATAAAAACTTTCCTATTACTGTAGATTCTGCTATTAGGGTGGGATAAGTTTATTTACTCTCAAAAAAAATAAACGATTTTTGCTTCAAAACTTAATGGAAATGAATTACAGTAACCTATCTATATTGATAAAGATAATTTGGAAGCGTGAGGAGACGAAAGCTTGAAGGAATGACATACTCGTGAAATTTCTTTATCAAATAAATTTGGTTCCTTCAAAGTATAGGTCAAATTCTTTATATGACGCATTTACCAAAATGAGTGTTTTAGGGCCAAAACATATATTGGCTCTATCACGAATTTAAGGTGTGATTATAATATAAATAAATTATTTATAATCCTGGAATGGCAGTTCCATGACTAAATCTTTTTTTGCTTATTATATATACCTGCAAATTTGCCAAGAATTTTTTTTATTAATACATGCGAAAAATAAATACAAATGTTCAGAACTTTGCCTGTGATACATGACGATTTTTTTTCTATACTAATGTCTATACATATGACTATTTATTTTCTGTTTTTACCCGCTTCAATGATTCCTGCGATTCTATCTAGCGATCAAACACCCACTTAATTTGCCCAAACAAGTCCTTGATAGGTTCTACCAAGTCGTTATAGGTCAATATAGCCTTATTGATTGGTAATAGAAAGGGAGACAACAAACTTAACAATACATCCATTTTTCTTTCACTGTTATTATCAGAGCTGAACGAAACTAGCTTGATTATTACCTAATTCACAGCAGTTGATACAATCCTATACATTACGTCTTCCTGCAAACCTGCCGTATCATAAGTTCATTTTTTAGGATTACATTAGATGAATGTCTGCAGTTGGATCGCATTCTATGCAATTCCTTGATTGATGTCCTCTTTTTTCACCTCAGTGATTATGATAATGATATTCCTATCTTTATAGCCCAATCAACAGAACCTTTGCCATGACTTTCTGAGATTTCATGCTAAGGATAAACCTTAATTTCACCTCTATATATTGATGCCACACTATAAATGATATGGGAAATATATTCACAACGAGTAGCCTCGTTGGCGTTAGTGATGTGTTAAGATGTCTTGTGCAATCTTAAAAATTCATCTATAACTTATTTTTGGATATCTTCTAGAGTATCCTTAATACCTCTAGCAAAAGTAGGTAGTTCTTTATAATCGTCTGCCTTCAAGCTGAAAAGTGTCTTCATCTTATTAAATCTCCATGAGGAGAATGATTGTTAAGCTGTTGTGAAAATACAAGATAAAAGCTATTAGTATCTGTTGCGTAAATATCATAAAAAATATAACTAATATTAAATATTACTTATATGTGTCTACGATAATTGGGAGGTCTACTTTGAATTCCTGAGATCAGATTATACATGCCAAGTCTTCATCATTGACCAAACGAGTACGTTCCTTTCTGCTCTCACGATTAATAACAATATATTCATCCTCAGTTCCGTCCAGAAAAGTAAAACAAATACGAAGCCTCGTCTTCAAAGCTGATAAGGTTATTTGCTCACGAGTTACTGCTACAAGAATTTTTCTGGCTTGTATCGCCTATACGTTACGATGCAGTGAACTTCTTTCATCTCAACAGGATGCTATACGATTATATGTATGTGCTCGTCGGCTGGCTGGGAGGGAAGTGTTTGTTAATCTTCAAAAGTGGTTTTAACTCTGCACCTTTGAGTTCGTCCTTGATATTAACGTTAATTTTTTCATTGACAAGCTTAAGTTTTTCATTTCTTCTTCAAGAGAAATGTCAACCTTCTATAACTTGAGGTCTTTTGCCTTAACATTATCGTCAATTTTTTCTTGATAGCGTCCCTGAGCAATGTCACAGTTTTTATTTAAGTGGTGTCGATAACAACTTGAAAAGCATTTTCATAGGAGTTTTCTCCTACAACTAAACAACTGAGAGTAATAGTTGACATAGCGCTTTTATAGGAATATTTAGGTCGGATAAAAAATAGTGTTACGTTCTGAAATGAGATAAAAATTTATTTCTAAAATGGGAAAGAGAATACTGAGCGTTAATATAGGTTTTTATGTAATACAGACATTGCATTACCGCACGTGACCCATTTCTCGATAAATAATACTTTATTTATAAAATAAAAAATGTTGCCAGAAGTCAGCCTACAATATATAAAATTTGCGACTATATCACTAACATGATGTGAATAAAAAAATCTAATTATCTTTGCTTAGTACCTCTGGCACCCTTTCAGCGGGAGAGTATACGATAACATTGATTCCCTTTTCACCACTAAAGATATGTTGGGGTTGTATAAGAAAATGAGTAAAAATTGTGTTTTGCGGTTCTATTCTTATTGCACCTTCTACTTCAAATTTACTGATGTTTCTTAAGCTGATATTTATGACACTATCAGCTATAAATGTGACCCTATATAAAGCCAAATTGGTCAAATCTATATCTTGAAATTGATCTAGACGACAGGTTCTGATCGCCTCCGTGAGAGAAGAGACTCTATTGTTGTTAGCGTTAGATATCATTACTTCGAAAATATCATTCACTCCCTTATCAGAAATGAGACAGTTGAGAGTAATATCACCACTAGCGAGAAACTTATCAATCTTGTCTGGAGTCTTAGTCTTATCAGATTCCTTAGTCTTATCAGACATCTTGTTTTTCTAAATACAAGACCCATGGTAAGAAAAACTCGTTCAGTCCTAGAAGGACCCTCCTATACATACATAATTTAAAGCATATGCTTACCTTATTTACGTTAGCTATATTAGTAAAACTATTTTCTCTGAAAAATTCTTTTGCGAAAAGTTGACTAAACTTCCACATACCCTTACATGCTTTATATCTTGCTGGAAAAAAGAGCGCCAAGTCGAAGTTAAGGAGATATGAGGCATAATTAGTATTGTTGTCTGATGCCAAGAGCTCTATGAAAGCACATGTAAACAGAATCCTCATACCTTTTCACATGTAGATCTACTGGAAAGACATATAGTTAGCTTTACGCCTGACGATCTCAAAATTTCAAAATCCTTAGCCCTTTATAGCATATATTTTTATTATCAGTATTTATTTTTACGGTAAGTCCTGTGTTACTACTAGAGGTTCCTTTCACATTTTCTCACATTTGTTCAGGAAAAAAATATAGATACTGGTTAGTATGTTTTCTTTTTCGAATATATATGCAAAAATTAATATATCATACAGACCTGTCTGGTAATCTACTTATTTTTGTTACATAGAAGTGACCCAGCAAATTCTTCAGAGCTAGCGATCACTCCTCTGGACTGGCTGGCTTAGAATAATCATCTTTTTACGTAAACTTTAGCTCTTGTGTCAATCTATCTAATGTCAATTTAAGACCAATTATATAGACTTCTTGTTGAAGTTCAGACGCAACCCCTGCAAAAAAACACTTTTTTAATATTTTTATTCACATCTTTTATAATATCATCTAAACTTTCCATATTATGCAAATTGCTAGTAAATCTCATACTTTATTATAGGAGCCTATATCCTTAATTGAAAAAATAATATTAATATATGCATAGTGAATTCCCTATCCACTTGCTCATATGCTAGAAAAAAATATATAATATTCATGTTAATGCTGTAACTTGTCTTTCCTATATATTTACCATTCACTAGTCTAGCTTATAAAAAAGCTTTGCTGGAAGACAATTAGATTGATATTGCTCTGAGTATTTATTCTATTTCATCATCTGATCTTTCGCGATTCTCCTCTTTAGCTATATAATAATAAAGCTCGTATAATTTCTTTAAGCTGATATACAGATCATTATCTGCATATCTTTTGCGATAATTTTCTAGCTTTAGAGTGTATGCCTCTTCGTTAGAAAACATCTTGACTGCAACTGTCTTAATATAGTCATTCAGATTCTTTTCAGCTCGCAATTTCTTTAGATAGTC